ACACATCACCCACATCGGAAGCGACCATCAGTTTGAAGTGGAAGTTACACTAAGTTGTCTACAGACTATAACGCCCACCAATGTCTTCAAAGTTTTACATCATAAAATTTTACAAGCCTGTGCGACGTGTTGGCTTCTGTTGAGTATTTTAATTTTCTCAGAGATAGTTTTGAACGCGCTAAATTTTAAAATCCTCTTCTAGGTCCCCAAGTAATGTCTGTTTTCGAAATGTAAGGTAACTTTTGCCCATAAAATTTTGGTTCACAAAATCGCAGTTAAAAGCAAAAGTATACCTGTACTGGTGCACTGGCTTCTTGGGAAAATTATTTTTGTCTGGTAACTACTGCATCAGTTGACTTTTGTCGGAACCGGTCGACCGGTAGACAGTATAGTCCCGGACATTTCTCAGTCCTTTCTAGCTCAAAAATCGGTGGACATATAATTGCTTGGTAGGTGTTATTGCAAAAGCGCGATTTCTCTATCCGAGTTCTATCAAAATAACCATTAATATGTTGAATGTTTCCGGTGAATAAGACGGAAAGTGAAACTGTTTGTCACTACGTACAGATACGTACCATCTGGCTTTATCAACTTACAAGTTCCGGTTCAGTCAGCACCCACCTATGATGAGAATTCCAAATTAACTAACAAACCTCTTTAGCCGTTTCAAACCGCACAGTGTCCAATGTGCATGAACATATGGTCCAAAAATTAAACGATGTATGATTACAATCCATCCGCATGAAAGACCCATGCTGTTATCGAGGCTTCTACATCATGTGCAGAAATTAGTATCAGGACGTCGTAAAGTACTTCATGATAAAAAAATGAATGTGCAAACGGCCGCGCGTTTACACAGTCTACGCTTTGATTAAGTTCTCATTTGTATCACACAAGGGTTGCATATACAACACTTCTGATAAGTTTACGATAGTTTCATACGAGTAGCAGACTCTCTGTAACACAACTGGTGCGATTCAAATATTTCTCATTTCGTTTTCACCCAGTAGGTCCAAAGACTGTGCTATTGGGCAGTTGGTTGTTAAACTCGGAAGAGGTGTCTACTTTGGACAATGGGGCAATTGTCTAGACAAGCCTATTCCATGCTGAGTTTGTCGAGTTAAAACTCGGTTAATTCGGATTGGTAAACAAATTTGGATTTCCAGGAACTGTCTTTCTATCAATCAAGAACAATCCATCAGGTGTGATTGATTTTAAGGTGAAAATTGTACATCAATCTTTGTTTTATAGCCAACGCGATCTTTTGTTCGAAGTGCAGTTTCCATGTAGTGTAGTTAGTTGAACGCGAATAAAACTCGAAGATGTGACTCATGAACGGATTGACTATACTACTGTTTCCGAATGTAATTAGCTTGATTAAATGGTTGTTTGGGACTAGGGAGAGGAATGAGCCGGCGAGAAGCGCTAAACAAACACTTCGAGGTTAGAAATAGTTAATAATCATTCCACTTTTTCGGAGTAACCCGATGTCTTTATCAAATAATCAATAGTGTCGACCATTTTTAAATCAATGGGTCATCAAGGTAATTACATTTTTATGTAATTGCCCATGAGATACAGTAATCACTTAATCATTCTGTCTAGAAAACAGGAAAGTGAGCCCTCAGAGAACTTGTACACAATGCACAGCAAACAAACGTTCACTAATGAATGAATTACAGTCAGTCAGCCTGCTGCAGCAAACAAACTAGAGTTAACATATGTTGAATATAAGGCAGTTCGGTTTACTCGTGGGTCTCACTTTAGTACTGAACGGGCGAGAAAGTGTAACAACGAAGAAATGAACCCTTCGGAAAATAATTATTATAGAACGAACACTAATTCAGTTGGTTTTAACGTTACGAAAAGATAGTATAATGTTAAAGAGCCAATCAGATTTATGCCTTTAAACCTCTAAAAACTTGTTTGGAATACGTTCTAGGGAGCTCGAATTAAAAACAAGATGAAGAAATTGGACTTCCTCCCACCACGATGAACCCACGTCTTTTCCATTGTTACAATTCACTTCAACCTACTTGTTACTTGTTTGGAGAATGTGCGCATAGTCCACATCCACTGAGTGTATGCACTTGGTTTCTTGACAGGAAAAATCGCTACTGAGTTCCCGTCAAGCTACAGAGAAGATATGCTATTGTTGAATTGGTTCCAAACTGTCAAACCCTACATGCAATGGAATCTAACTGTCTGTTTTGTTGTCAAACGTGAAGCTTAGCAAGACTTCAGCGAGCCACTATTTAGACGACTAGCAAGTTAGAAAATAGTTTGACAGCCAATGTTCAGCACCCATTTTATACCTTTACTGGTAAATCTATATGTGAAATTTTGTCAGTTAAGCTCACAACCCAACCCAGCGGATCTCAGAATTATTTTATCATATATTATTCAAAACGTACTAAATCGAAACACAAATCATTAAGAATAATTGTGACGCATGCGTCATCTATTACACAACGCAGTAGGACGTGACACTATCGCCAAGTATGAAAATTTCCGTCAAGAAAGAGTTTCAGTATGTTAATTTTAGATAGTAAGCAGACTGATGTGTTTATTCCACCTTGGTTTACTGTTACCTCTACTCAGATGGGAATTTTACAGACCTGTAGATTGTCATCTTGAGTAGACTAAACTTACTGCTTTGTCGTTTGGCGTCTCCAATCGAATCTATGTAGCGCTCACGTGTCGCAATCTAAGTATAATAGATTGCTACTGTCTGATACAAAACAAACATTGTATTTCGTAACTGAATCCGCCCCAACTCAAAGAACGCACTATCCACAATTGATAGAAAATGTGAAGCATGTTTCTTGTCACTTTTTGATGTTACCCAACAGGATATTTAGTAATCTAATGCCATTAACGGTGTGGCCAACGTACAGGGCCAGAACTATAAATGAAGTAGAAACACATACCTATTATCTGTGTGTAATTCGTTCACGACAAACTTTTACGGGCAAATAGGAGTGAATTTTGAATGCCAACCATCCATTATGCGATCGGTTTTGCCTATGTTTAGATTCGTAAGGTGAAATAAGCCGTAGTGGTAAATGGAACCGACATGTCTCCACGTTACATGCTGGAGCACCTATCCGTTCTGCCACCAGTTCGATTACCACTGCTTGGTATAGGTAGTTTTGAGTATTGATGATATGTACTGTGTTCATATCGTTTTAACAGAGTTGGACACACAGCTCATTTCAAATGGTGAGATTAAACTGAATACTGTAACTTGGGCTAGAGCTGATAATTACAACAGGTCTGTTTTCCTATTGAATTAGCTTTCTTAAAGATTTGCAAAATACAAATAACAATTTGACCAAATAGGTAGACCTTCAGTGAGCAGTTTGGAAACAGTGGACTCACTCGATAAAATGCTTTCTTTTGCCGTGCCCACAGCCACTCCCTGATGATGTATGCAGAACATTTCGAGTGTTCGATTGAACGCACACATTATACTATCAGTATCAACAAAATGCTCTGAGTTACAACGTTAAATCACACACGTTAGAAGTGAGAATTAATCGTTAGTGTTTGTTGCGCCGCAACTCCGTTCTAGTGCTCAACTTAACATCAACATGGAAACTTTTGGACCAAGTTAGTCAATCAAATCCAGGATGAGTTTATTACACCCAGCTGTTAAACTTTCCGCTTCATATACTCGGACGTTGACGATTCACAGGAACTTTAAATGACAGAACCAGTTTAGAACAATTAAAAATTTACGATAGTGGGTGAATTTTTGAAAAATTTTCAAACAGTGAACGGCCCGGTACAGTGCTACACGGGTATCTGGAAACGTTTTACCAGTAGCACCGTTAAAACGTCAGGTAAGTAAGAAATGTTGACGACAGAAATCTTTGAGACCTTGTTTACTGTTGACAAAAGTTACAAAAAACTCAGTTGCCTAAGTTGAGACCATCAATTAAAGCAAAGAAACCATCTCGAACTATGTTTGGTTAGCTTAGTAAACACGGCATCTATTATTATGCCAGTCTTAGAAAGTGGCTTTCACTTTTGGAGATAAGTATAACAAGGTGCGATGGGGAGTCCGCAGGTTGCTTACTGAGCAAAGTTATCAAAATCAGCTTGACAACACATCAGATGGCTATTTACGCAGACGTTTTGATTCGTTTGGAAAGGAGTAATGCACTTCTGATCTAAAAGAACACACATCAAGACCAGGTATCGCATTCTGCAGTGATAATAGAATACATGGGATAGGAGGCACAGTCTAACGTCCTTCTGTGTTTACCCGGGCGACAACTGTTTTGACAGAAATTTTCTACAGTAGTTTTCAGATAAGCGTTTGGCGCTTGAAGTTCTTAGGTGACGGTGCTGAGGCTTGTTCCCTTCAGAGCTGGGTAAGCTAAGTTGTTCGTTAGCATTTTCGGTAGAGCGCACCGGTTATTCATCATATAGACTGAAAGTTGATGCGACTTCTGACTGTGTGCACTGCTCTCAACATCTTTAGTTTGAAGGAGGAAAAGTAATTTTTATCGAACCACCTCTGGAAAGCACCGATGCAGTGTTAACAATCCAGCTATGCTAACACCGTGTTTAAAGTATTGTACAAGTGTGCTAATCCTGAACTCAGTAAAGCAATGGAAACCTCAAATACACATGTTGCTGCGCATATAGGCCATGTCGTCGAAGTGCTTGTGAAACCGTTTTGCATGAACTACCTCCAAATGCAACCGATGGCTAATTGATGAAGGTGTTCTTTGGGTGGCGAGCAGTTTAATAACTTGAAATTCAAGTGACATGATTATGATGAGGGGAATGAAACCATCTTGCTCCGCATTAGCTGTCAAAATTAATACTGAGGATTACTGGGGGATTTTTTTCATATAGATTAAACATCACCCATAATTGTCGCAGCCATCGCATTCCCATTGACACCCCAGTCGGCCCCTTTCGAACACCAGAGGCACTGGGCTCGAGTTTTGTTCTCATTAGTGCAGCTCGTCAGTTGTGCATATCCTCGTCACTGCCGGGACTAGAACCACGGACACGCTGTTTATGAGGCAACCGCGCTTACCACGGCGCCATTGACCTCACATTAGGCACGACTGAATTATCATATGTGAACACTCAACCACTTTCGCTTGTGGCTAATGATCAAGTGGCCTGGTCGCCTCGAGAGATAACACAGCAACTGTGTTGTTAACTCCAGTGGATGACTGCTCGACTAGGACTTCCCTTCGGGTTGAAAGCACAGAATTCATTAAATGGCTGAGCATGGCTGGAGTTCTTGTCCCGGCAGTGGCAAGGATATGTACTATCATTGTTTGTGGTGTTCCATCTTTATGAAAATTAGTATTCTTATCTTTGAGTTTACACTAAGAATTCTTGTCATCTTCGGGTACTATAAATGCTATGTGAGTGAGTTAGATACGGTAGTCTAAATAACGTAATATGGTACTGAATAAGCCTCACTTGCCGTTTGTCAAGAGTAGGCAAATACTGTATGATGACGATGCATCACACTTTGACAGATTCAACACCGAAATTTGCCAACAATTCAGACTAGGAGAGGGTTAAGTAAACAAGTCGAATGGGCCAACTTTAAGTCATCTAGTAATCTTGGTCTTTCACAAAATTGACTGACGTCTGAAGAATCATAACTTAGCCGCAATCGTGCAGTGATTTTTCAAGCTCAGTGACCCAAAGTGCGCAAGAACATTAAGGTTGCCTTCTTGTATGGGTTCGGGAAGAAGCTAACAATTATAAGTTGAAACTAATCTTATAATTGACGAAAAACACAATCTAGATTATCGTATTAGAGTCATCGACACCGGTATTCTGCGATTAAAGAGTAAACACACCGAGTTCTGTCCGAAAAATGTTTCTCTGTTTCAACGATACAGCACTGCAATTTTCCACCCTTTAAATATTACATAAGTTGGTGTAACAGTTGGGTTTCTTCACGACACTTACCTGTAAAAACTACTTGCAATCCTTGGAAAATTGCTTGTTAGAAAAGCATTTTCATGCTTATTGGTTTTGCTTGGAAGGACCAGTAAATATAATGGTTTGTTGTAGCAGATCATGAAGGGCATTACAGTTTTGTTTTTGGAAGTAGGCAAGTAGACTGAATTAATTAGATATGGCCTGTTCACGCTAATTTTGGGTATTGGCTGGATTCAAATGAAGTGCCGAAGCAATCGGAAGGACATACACCCCCTAGACTATGTGACGGATTCCATGTAAGAAAACGCGACTGGTGGGTGACTGGGTCAACGTATTAATAATGACGACATCGCATGATCGGTTCCGTCAGAAAACTTGAGATACAATTTTTCTACCACACCCCACATGGGGGCAATGGTGCGGTGACACATATGACCATGGCCTTAGTTCAAGACCCAGTCAATACAATTAAGTGCACAGTTGCCTCCAACAAAAGCCAATCCCACATTTAATGCTGATACTTGAAAGAGACTGATTGCCATGTGTATCGGAGGGTGAACGACGTGGTCAAACACGATTTACTGTTCAAATGCAATTGGCGAATCAAAAATTGCTCATGATTAAGCTAGTTTCATGGATCATTCTAACATAACAGCCAAAAGCTGCAGCGCAACGTTGTTTTGATCAACATATTTAGCTCGCGTTGAATAAAGCTCGGCAATGTGTTGTACAACTGGGATCTTTTTACGTCCTTGTCATTATTCTTCAGGCTTTTTCCTGTAATCAAGACTGTTGTAAGTCATGACTATCATTTTGGGCACAACTACTACAGAAATAAACAAAGTATGTTTATTCAAATATTGGATTAATTTTACAGATGACGCAGTGCAAAGAACAATCTCTCAGTAAATGTGAAAAACTACAGTCAACGGGTGGTTGTGGGGCTAACAAAGTTATTTTACAACTAAAGCGACCGAAGTTCAAATCCACCTTTCACTGGTGTTAGCCTACAGTGAGTGAAAAAATCAAGTTTTCGGCTTTTTTATAAATAGGCTGGAGGGAGGCCTACGAGAATGTGAGATCTGTGATCAATTGTGGGTGGCTCCATTCATCAATAAGACGATCATTTGATACTGAAGTATGTTGGAATGCCATTGGCGAAATCTACCCTGACCAATGAGGGATGTCAGAACATTACAAAAATGAAATATTGCTTGGATACGAATTGCTTCCTACATTGATCTGCTGTTAAAAATGCCTTACAAAAATTTACATTTATAGCTGCAACTGGTCCACTGACGATGAATTGTCCCAATCATCTCCTTGTTCACCATCACAACAAAGAACTGCTGAACGTTGCAATCAATTAAAATTTAAACTGTGCAATTGTAAAATTATTTGTCAATTGATGCTCATCTGCACATATAAAGTCTCTTAAGACAGGACTGCGCAGCACTCCTTTTATCTCAGGCTTGTGTTCATGCTACTAGCACTAAATCATACCAGTCTTGTTAATGGTTTACGAAACTGGTAGTCTCCATCTTACTGTTAAACCGCAAATGCAATTTTCATTTGGTGATTTGTCTGGTTGTCGGATATTAGTAGTCGGAAGTAGTGCGTCTTCTCGAATGCATCCGTGACTCAAAAGACGTTATCGCACCAGTGCCATAATAACGATAGTTCGTACCCATTTGTCGAAGTTACGAATGCATTTTCTTGCATGTACATGTGATCTTATAAATAGCTTAGCCAAAGCACATTCTATTGAGGTCGCTTAGGAATTTTTTGAAGTCAGTTTGAGACATCAGCAGTTTGTAACTAAATGACTTTGGCACGAGTTTTGGAAGAAGTAACAGTGAAGGCAAAATTAACGCAATATGATTTTTATCTTTGAATTGATGTCAATATTTTCGAGGTCCCTTTTCGTTTGCATTCACAACTGTCACTATTGTTGATTCTCCAAAACTGCTGTTTATTTAATTAGCATTGTCTAATGTTTGATTGACTGTTAGCAAACAATGCCCAGAAAGTCTAATTCTGATTATATGGCATATATCTGTTTGTATGTTGTAGTGCTTCTTATTGTTGTGTGTTCATTGGATAGATTATTTACATTTCGATTAATGTCACACCGACTCTTAAGATAATTTTATACCGTCATACAAATTGTAACAACATTTAATTCTTGTTTAAAGTGTGATATATTACACTTCAAAACAGCCTAATCTACAGTGATGTGATTATAGTGGCCGTTATCAAACAGAAACAACAGGATACGACCATAACAGCTTTAGGAATTTTGAAGTCTATTACTTTATACAGGAACAGCTGTGCCTAGCTGTCATTCGCAGGACTTGTATGAACGCCTCCCAGATTATGCATTCGGAATAACAAGCAATTTGTGTGACACGTGACATTTTGAAAGTTGATCAAGGTAGAAGAAGATTCCAAAGCACAACACTTGATTATTAAAGGTCAGCTGATATGAATAATCTAATCGCTGATTTCCCTAGGGACATTCCAAGCAGCAGCCCAGACAAGTTTCCAGATGGACGTCCATCATGAGGACATCACACGTACCAGTTGCTGTTTTGGGCCGACTAGAGTTTAGTTTGTGAGAATGCATAAACCATACCAGAGATTATCAAAGAGTTACCCTTAAACAAAGTTTCTTACATAGTTGAGTCCAAAGATAAATTATGGGATGATCGAGGTTTGTACACTTCAATAAAACTGAATGTGTTGAGTAACTTAGGGGGAGAGTCGAAACATTGCAAAACCTGTGACTCGTTTGGTTTAAACTCGTTGTGGCATGACCAATGAACTGCTTAGTAAAGAGGCAGTTATCCTTACAGACTGTATGAAATATGCACAGTTTTAGGGTTGAAAATGGTAAAAATGGAAAGCAAATACTCACTAATTGTAAGCACGACTACAACAGTTCAATGTTGCGAATGCAATTCTAACGAAAAAGAAAAACTGCAACTTATCGATTGCATACTGTGTTTTAGTAAAGTGGGATGACAGTGACTCCATGAAGAGCTCTCGTGTGTTGACTCAACTATCAGTATGCAAAACTGGTAAGCAGTACGATAGACAAGCAAGTATAATCCAGTTGTTTTGCAATAAAATAATCTTCGACTGTAAAACGCTAAATAAATCCTGATGTAATAGCTGATTGCCAAATTATGTTATTTTGGTTGTGTGTATGCCATTAGAAGAGGCCAGCCGTCTGTGTGAATTGAATTGGAATGTGTACTGGAACAATAAATTTTAGCGCGTACTTCCATTGAACACTTCAATATTCAATCCTGTGTAAATCTTTCCCGACAAAGGTTTTTGTAGGCCAAACAGAAATGCCAACATTTAATCTATCTCGTTAGTCAGAAGCCGTGATTAACCTTCACCTGCACTCAATATACTCAGAAGTGACCACTGAAATCAGTTGGTCCAGTTAGCGTGCTCTACTGCAAGCACACGTAGATAGACCAAAAACGTACACTCAGAAAATGCTGTTCCAACAGTGTAGGAAATAAGATTTTTTTTGCAACATTCAGTGGAACAAAACAAATTTGCTCAAGTTACATCTTTTAGATTAAAGCACGTTGGACAGAGCTGACGTTTCTTGGAAAAGTTTTACTCTAAAAATGATTACCGCGACTAATTTACACTGTAGTTCACACCCTAAGATATCCAGTAAATTATTAGTTTGATGTTTCCCGTTCGAACACGGTGACCGTGTGGAGTTCATTCATTCAATTAATTCACCTGAATTGCTCGTCAAAAATTGAAATAAAACTCGTTGTGTGCCTAAAACACTCAAGAGTTTGTTGAAAGGCAAGAGACAAAGTTTGGTAGAAGGCGTAGGCAACAGTTGTGTGTACGGAGTGATTCTAATGATTTCCTTGACAAGTTTTTCCTGCCGAGGTATAAATCCGCATCTTATTACTGAATTTCGTTTTGCTGCTATTACAAATCTGAGTTAACCGCGTAGTTTCTGAATGCCAAATTGTTCCCGTTGACCTGTTAGTCAATGTTACTTATAGGTGACTCCCTAAGCAGCTAGCAACATATGTTTATTCTGGATTTTGACTCATCACCTAGCCTGTCCACAATCAGCTTGTCAGAAACTGTTGTGATTCA